ATGTCAGATCTACATGCAGTAGTGGTTTCTGACCTCAACTTATAGCCCTTCTTTACACTTGATCATTAAGCCTGATACATTTTCAACAAATTTTCCTTCTTCATTACAGTGGAACCCCACCTTACGACCACCTTGTTAATGCAACCATATTGTTATTACGACTACTATTTTTTGGCCCGGCAAAATGTCCATATATTTTCTTATAAAAACATCCCATTCATGTGACCACCCTGTTAATGCGACCAACGACCACTTTTTTAATTCCCAACGTGTATATTTCTTTGTTTTTACCTCATTAATATGACCACTAATACAGATAAGTGGCAATAGAAGTAAATCCTGAGTAAATGTCTGTTACATGTCATATCATTATCATTAAAGCAGCATTTGAATGCAATGTAGATGATTGAGAACAGTTGCTTGGAGGTGAAACTTTGTTATGCTTAAATCAACACGCCAGCTATGAAATATGACCCTACCCCAGTAATACGACCACCCTGTCAATAAGACCACTTTATTTTGGCCTGTTGGTGGTTGTATTAACGGGGTTCTACTGTAAGTAAAACTATCACTGAGATCATGGTGACCCCAAATGGTCCTTCCAGCCTTCAATGGAATCAGCTGTGTTACATTATTTCAATTTTCCCTGACTTTTCTTCACTTTGTCAATTTTCCCTGACTCAAAATGAAATTGCCTGACCCTTCCCTAACTTTGAAGAATTTTTTTTCCCCTGACCATTTCCTGACCTGTGGCAACCATGTAAAATGTGAGTACAGCTTCTCAGAGTCTGACCAAAAAACAGAGACTACAGTCAAACCTCCACATGTTGCCACCCTATTGCAAAGCCCATCTTGCTTCAATGGCCAGGAACTAACCGTGCACTGATTTAGACACTTCACTCTCGTTGAAGCCATGGCCTGCTCTCTGTATTGCCAGTTAACACTACCACAGGGAAGGAGGCCAGGGTGCATTCCACAAGACTTCCATGCAGAAGATTTGCCGAGGCTTTTTAAATTTGACGCAAAGATTGTGACTTTGCTGCTCACTTTTAATGGCTTAGCTATGTCAAAAAATACCTCTGGCACCCAGCGTACTAAGCAGCCAAGTCACACATCACTCTGCTCAAATAATCCCAATTTTCTTCCTATTATGTTCACTGGGAAGCTTTGGACTCAAACGGATTGTGCAAGATACCCGTTATTGGCCAGGATATACAGTATTCAATATGGAATAAAATGGGGGATAAAGAGAAGTTAAGAAGCCACAGTTATCACGCCAATTCACCTTACGTAGTTAAGCATTTATATGTTAGCACCAGCAAATAGAAATGTGCACACCGCTATATGCCAAAAACCCTAATCGCACACCAGTACACCGCAAAATTTTTAAGGCCACGCTGAAGATCTTCAACATGACCTACTCTGAATGCACCCTGAGATGGACGTTGCAAAGAGGTTCAACTATGATATGCCATATGTACATCAATTGATGTACAGTAATTATGTCAAAACCGCTTTTCCTCCTCCCTCCCCATGCTTCTACATAAAAGAATCAAAAATATGAATAAAAACAAACAAATATCAGACAACTGATAAGCTTATCTTGATACCTTAATATTACTTTTTCTGTGAAATCACTGAAATGACAACGGTCAGTATGTATAAAATAATAACCTTAGACGAAATTCACCGTTTTGCTGCAGCTGCATTTCTTTTTCTTTTTTTTTTTTACTGTATTACACAAAATATGCCGGCATAGTGCCTGCTACTTTAATATTATGCTCAACATTGCACAAATTTTTATGTTTTAACCCCTTTTGCAGCTAAAGACTAGATGTTTTTCTAGATCGGAGTTCAGAATGTAAGCTTAATTAATATAAGAATTTCCACATCATTTTGTGAAATATACTCACCGTCAGAGCGGAAAGGTTGTTAGCCGTCATTTTTCTTGATTTTTTAGCATTTAAAATGTCACGAAGAGAGTGTAATTTCCTCAAAACAGACTTACAACACCGGATCCACGTTACGCCGCCATGTTCTGGCTTGGTAGCCATGCCTTATATGGAAACGCTTTGATTTTCCCGCGAGATAGCCTTAGCGGGCGCGATACACGAGCGCGGAGCGCGACCACCTGGAATTTTTTTTTTTTTTTCGACTCGCGCTTCGCGCTCCACGCTCGCGTATCGTGCTTCGTAGTCTGCTCCGCTAATGCGCCTATAAAGCAGGCTAACCGCGAGAGGGTGATGTTGCGAAGCTGCCTTTTTTTCCAACCAGCATTGGAAAATTCCAAACAAATCGAAGACAAATTGCAACGGCAGCAAATACTAGTAAGGCTCCTAATAATCGAGTGGTTCCAAACAAATTTTCACTGTACTTACTTTCGCTGAAATCACTTGCTAAATATTTCTCTCGCAAGGACCGCAAGGCATCTCATGAACTTAACAAAATAACCGTGCGGTGGCCAAACAAGCATTGTACGCTCTGAGTTCCAAACCATTACCCCTTAAAAAATTATACACCATTTTGACCAAAAACGTTAACCCCTTCATATGCCTAAATGACAGCTGAATTTAGAGAAGCATAAAAAATGCTCACAAAAATAAAAAAGACTCCCAACATCGCGTGTAGCCGTCACAAGCTTTCTGTTACATACATACATACATACATACA